AGATAACAAACTGTGAGGTGGGAAAGTAGTTCTGGGACTGCTGTGATCATCAAATACACATATGTTTCTGCCCAAGATAAAGTTACAGGAAACGTAGTCATTATATAAGTCCTAGAAGGGACCAAAACTGCAGCAAGTAGTAAGATGCTCACCTACAGAAATTTTTGCTGGATATTCAGTTGATAATGTTTAGCAGTGGGAAATTACAACAAATTTCCATCTTTGTATCAAGCACTGCTCATCCAAAGCATCATAAAATATTAAACTGAATAAAAAGGGAGAAGATCTTCAGTAGCGTTACAGTCAGGCTACAGGAAGGAAGTACTTTTGCTGCTTGAAATTGATGACACCCATTTCAAGCCCTGTAAAGAGATTAGTTTTTAGCACTCCGTGACAATGATAAGTAAACCATATGTTTCTTAGTAATCTGTACACCATGAACAAGTCATTTATTATAAAGGTGAAATACTGTTGTGCTGAACAGACATGCTGTCCAAAGTATGAGTTTTTTCTGGAGGTTGACACAGAAGGATAGCTTTCTTGGCAGCCCTTTGCATTTTTAAGTACATTCCATTTAAAAATGTTTAGGTAGGGGACAAAGGCTTTTACCAATCTGTAAAGTACTAAGACCATATAAAAGGATACATAAATATAAAATATATGGGAGTTCTTCAAGTTCCACACTGATAGAGTGTAATGTGAAAGTATGATCACAGTGCTGTCTGTATCTTAGCATTAAGCATGATGGTCTAGAAACCAGAAAAGTAACTCATACTGGTAGCATAATTGAGACTTATGATACTCTCTAACTGCAACAGTAGGCATTCAAAAACCGGTGTTGCCTGGACCTGTGGTGTTACTGTAGATGTCATCTGTCCCAGCTCTGAATGGAAATAGTGGTAGTTTTACAGAGTAACACATGGGAAACATTAACAGATAGCGTCTATTTTAGGGCCTAGATACCAGTTTCCCAGGCAAGAAAACATTTTTGTATCATGAGGTGATAATGTCACACTGTGACATTGGCACAGAGTACTTGTAGGGGAGGGTGCAGTATCACACACTGCCTTAGTTGTCGGGATTTGTAGTGTTAAACTGAAGACTTGTTCACAAACCTGTGGTCTGTCCAGTGATAATAGCGGCTCTCAGGGAGATGCTGTCTTGGATGCAAAACTCTTGGTTTTTTCTGTTTTCATGGCTTCCAAGTGTTTCCTTTCACTTAATGAATCAGCTGTCAGCTGCCAACTTAACCTGCTTCAACTTTTTATTATTATTTGCTGATTGCTATTATTATCTTAGGCATACTTTGGACCATTGCTTAGATGGTATAGTACCTGCCATGCAGATCATTTGCTCTCAAGTCCAACAGATCAGTGAAAGCCTAAAACTTCACCGTGCAAGTCCCCATGAGGAAAGAGATGTAACTGCTCCAGCCACCCTGGAGTGCCGGCAGCCCCGTGGCTGCAGCATGGCAGCTAGGAAACCCCAAGGAAAACAGAGCCCCCAGCAGAAGTGACTCTGAGAACTGGAGCTGGAGGCGTGTGAGTGTCCTGCAGAGGCTGGGCACTGGCATGGCAGTGTGCAGGAGCACCAGCACAAGTGTCAGGGCCTCCACCCCCTCCCGTCCTCCGCACCTCGTCCCCATGCAGGGTCACAACACCCTGAGGCATCTCCGGGAGACATGTCCTTACTCTCTGCTGGCTCTTCTCCCAGCTGTAGATCCTGTGGCCCTGCTTGGCTCAGCATGTGCCCGGCCCAAGAGCCATGGGCCTGCAAGAGAGGGAGGTGGGAAGTGCTGGCACCTTGTCGGAGAGAAAGCCACCTGGAAGTTACAAGAGAACTGCATGCACGCCTGCTATTGGTGCTGAGGGGTAGTTTAAGGAGGAAAAGGAGTACTAGGGAAGACGACACCAAACATGACTTTCAAGGAACGTTACTGCAGGCACCCATCCCAAGGGAAAGCAGAACGTTTGCAGAGATGGCAGACCTGGGTGAGGCACACCCTCCTCGGGCATGTTCAGCTCCCTCTCCAGCTGGACGTGTGCCTTGGAAGAGTAACCGTGCAGGAGCTGCCAGCACTCAGGAGGAAAACAAACCAATCTGCAGAGTATATGACACAACTTGTTGGTCTGAAAGACATGGGAGATTTCAGGCTTAGGAGACACAACAGATCTTCAAAATAACTTGCTTTGTGCTCCTGCTCCTGCCAAAGCCATTTTACTCTAGGTGTTGTGGGAATGAGTCCTGTTAACTACTCCCACATCAGCCAGAAATCTCAGTGTAGTGGAGGAGTTGTTATTATTTGCTCTGTTCATTTAGCACACCACTCCTTTTGCATTGGCTGAGTAATGTACAGTGAACAAAGCCCATAAACTAGATTTCTTCCATCTTTTTACAGGAGTATGATGGACAGATAGATTCAGAAATTAAACCAATTTTTTTCCTGTCAAAAGTACAGGATTCACCAAAGTAATCTCTAAGGTATTTTTTAAATAGTTCACTTAGGCTTGGTTGTTTTTGGTTTTGTTTTTGGGTTTTTTGGTTTAGGTTTTGGGTTTTTTTGGGTTTTGGGTTTTTTTTTTGTGGAACACACACAAAAACACCACATAAGACTAGCTTGTTGTCATTAATGGTACAATGACCATCTGCTGTTCTGTTGTGTCTTCAAGCCAATTTTTAAAGTCATAAATTAAGCCATTGTGTATTATTGTGGGAATCTTTTTCCTCACTGTGACCATGGGACATACATTGCTGGTGAACATTATCCTGCAGTCACAAAATGAGACTCTTCGGCAGCTCCTCACATGTGCACAAAGACGGTGTCAGTAGTTCCGTGGAGCTCTATACCATTTACAGAAATGCAATTTATGTATGCTAAATTCTTTGAGGGTCAAACCTTTCCAATGACAATATTAATCTAATGCTTTGTAAATGTTATTTAATCTTCATAACAGTGTTTGGATGTGGTGTGGTTATTTCCATTGGAATGGCCTTAGATATTATGCATTCTAATGCATGTAGACCTGGATTATGCATATAGACCATGTTTATTAGAAAGAAAACATTTCTTGCTGCAATGAGCGAGAAATGTTTTGAAATCTGTTTCTTTCTTAGGCACTAGATGCTTTTATAGTATAATTATTTCATTTCTGAACTTGGTATATTAATCTTTTTTCCAACCGCTTCTCAGTAAGCTGATGAGCTGGAAAGTGCAAAAGCCTTCAGAGTGGGACTTGAGCAGCAGTGGTAGCAGAGTCAGGAAAACAGCAGAGATTCCCGGTAGCATGAGCAAGAAACCCTCAGAAAAAGTCCCCTTACATCTTCTTCAAATACTACTACACAATTTCTCAGACTTTTCCAAAAATACTTGTTCATTGGCCGTACTCTAAATGACCCATTTGGTTTTTCCAAGTACCAGAACTGTCTGTCCTAGATTTTTAGATTTTTGTGGAGAAAGGCAGCTCTCAGAATATGCAAATATACACAGTCATGAAGAAGGCTCCTGTGACTGCAGAGGCTGCTGATCTTAGGGGAGAGCTGTCTAGTCCCCATCATGTACCCCCAGGCCTCCAGCGTCTTCCCGCGCTTTTGCTGGAAAATTCCAGCACGATAACCTGGCACTGACTCCTCACTGTGAAAACACAAAGGGATCCTTTCTCCTATCATGGACAAGTTAAGCACATAAAACCCCTGTTGACTGAAAGAAGAATAGACCCTTTTAGCCTTAGCATGACATGACTCCTTTGAATGCTTACAGCATTTTTCAGTTAACTGTGTTGAGGATGGAGTGTACTTACTCTCTTCCCTCTCCTTTGCTCCTTCTCCCTTGCAGCCATCCATAGCAGCATACCTAGCACCTCGAATCTGTATAAGGTTCTCAAAAGCCATCTTCATTAATTTGTCAGTCTTCTATCTCCATAACCTGAGTAGGGACACAGTTTTTATTTTAATGCAATTGACATTCATTCTTCAATGGTTCTGCCCACCTGCCCCCTGTTGCACTGTGTCTTTGATGAAATGGATAGATGAGGTGATCTGGGATCATCAATTTGCCATTAATAGATACACTTGATAATTGGGAGACAGCATGGGTAGAGTTACTGAGAGTCAGAATCTATAAAATGTGTGGACAAAAAATGAAATTCCAGACTAGCAATTCAGTGAGACCCTGTAGTTGCCAATAAGTCAAGTGACATCTATCCCGTACTTAACTGGCATGATAATGATTCAGATAATTACTAATTTTGATCTACACTATTGTCTTCTATAACCTTTAGAAATACCAATAACACCAGTTATGACAACACCAAAACCAAACAATCTAACAAACAAAGTTACAACATGACATGTTACTCTTCCCTCCAGCTCCTTCTTTCTTCCAGAAAAAAAAAAAAAAACAAAATAAAGAGGCAAGTTCTGACAATGAATGAAATTGTGCTGGTTTAGGGTAGAGAGACAAGAATTGCAGGTTTGAATTCTTGCACTGGGATTCCCCGCATTTCTAATCCTGGCCCCTGTAAAAGCAGACGTTTTATCCATAGGGCAGAAATAACCATGTAATAGTTTAAGAAAAGATTTGATGTAGAGCTCCCCAAAGCAAATACAAGTTCCCCTTATCCCCAGTGACTTTGGATCCAAGCTCCATGCAAGTATGAAATGTAGAATTTGGTTTTTTAATGACAGGTAGTAACCTCATAAATTTAAATATTTGGACAACTCATTTGGATCACTTGTGGGAATCGATGGTTTCTTAGTCAAACAGTAACATATTCATAAGAATAAGGTAGTAATCAGTGGTTTGTGCTTTGAATGACTCAAACAGTAGGATGGGAGCATTTGGTTTTGTTTTGAATGGAATAGCAACTTAGGTAAAACATCTCATTTCTTTGGTTTTTTTTTGTAATACTATGTAAAAAAAAAGTTGTATAATGTAATCATTTAGTGTTTATTTTATTATGTGTACCTTCTACTCAGAGGGTTGGCATTATTGTTCCTAACAGTGATGGATACAAGCAGATCATGCCCTATGACCTCTACCATCCCCTTCCTCGGTACGTAAAACAGTCAACCAGATGCTGGGATTAACAAATACCTTTACTTCTTTTTTTATTTTCTCTGAATTTCTGACTTGCTCTCAGATTAAGTTAACAGATGCTGCTTTTTTCTTGCTCTAAACTCCTACAGATTAATCTACATGCATTTGCTAACTTGTTGTTACAAATTCTGTTGAGGCAGAACTGGAAAAACATTTTAGCTGAAACAGCAATGCAGATTTATTAAGTGTGTGGTCCCTTTCTTTCTCTTTCCTCACCTGCCATGTCCACCTCCCCTTTTTTCTCACACCTTTCCATTTTCTTCCCTTTACTCACCTCTGAACAAGACTATGACCTGTGGCATTGTAATGAACCATCAGTCTTCATCTCTTGCTGGCAGTGCTGCTTCTTGCATGCTTGTGAATTGTGAGTTTAGACAGTAGTGTTGTGTTCTGATCCTGAAAACACATGTTAAAACCTCCCCCAGGGGCATTAATCCATTTGCTTTCCTAAGAAATCAGAGATTATGGGCAGGACTAGGAGCAAGGCCTGATTTGTATTATTAATTATATCACAGTTAAGATGTCTTTAATGAAAGACTTGAGATTCTCATGGAAATAACCACATGAGTGGTTAAAGCAGTGAATAAGAGTGGTGCTGGTAAAAATGTTTGGTATCTGAAGGATAACAAGCTTTTGGTTTTGAAATACTGCCTGAACATGCAATAGTATTGTGCTGTGTTTCCTTCTTCATTAATTTATCATGTCAGGGAGTAATGAAATCACAGAAAGAGCCCCTAGGCAACTTTTTGATCTCATCCTGGTGAGGAAACAACTTCCTTCAAACCATGGTGAGGCCTAATGCAGAGAGCTTTCAGCATCAGTGTGCAAGCACAGTGCATTCACCTTCAACAGAGTCTCCAGCCAAATCATGAACCCACCCCAAACTGTGAGTGAGAAGACGAGGAGGAGAGCAGCTTACTTGCCAAGTATTGTGGCTGCCATTCATGTTGACATCCTTTATCAATGATCTGTGTCATCTGGATTTCTCTTCCTAGCTAAGTGCTTATGGTTTTGTATACATGGTCAATTATCACCAAATATTCATGAGAGACATTTATAAAATATATCCCTACATCAAATTTTTCTGGAAAAGACTTTTCTATGTTCTTTATTTAAAAAACACCCACATACATACCTCCTAAACTTAAAAATTAAACCTCTGTTAGAAAGGAATATAGAAGCTAGGATGTTAATAAAGGATTTAACTTTCTACCTTTGAATAAAACAGATTTTATTTCAGCTGTACAAAGGGCACATACACTGATAAAAGGCAGACAACAATTTTATCTCAGAGGATGATTCAGCAGTACTTAACAGTGGAGGGACTGTATTTAAGGCAAAAGCATCCTGAACTGGCAGCTAGGCAGAGGCTTTTTTACTGCTGAACAAAATCCAAAATAAAGGTTCAAAATGCCCTGAGGCATTTGGCTTTCAGTAACACTGAAAGCACACAAAAAAAAAAAAAAAAAGAAAACCAAACTGAAAATGATCAAAAGACTAAGGCTGTTTCTCAAGCTGTTCTGGATTATAGTCTCACCCCATAAGAGTCTCTTTACATCCACTCTCTCGGCCTCACTATTCTCCATTAAACACTCTCATCAATTGCTCCAACTAAAACTGCTGGCTGGGAGTCCTGCCCCCTTTTTCCCCCTGGTGTCTTGCTGCTGGTTCCCGTCTTATCCCTCTCCCCCACTCCCACATGTGTTCCTAGGAACCCATGAAGAGGGCTCAGGTCTTCCTCCCTCACCCTGACAGGGAAGACACAGCCACGTGTCTCCTCTCCAAACCTCAGAGGGAGCAGCAAAAAAACACACCAGGAGGCTGGCATGAGACAAGGCCAGGTCAGGGGTATAAAAAATGTCTTTCCTTTGAACCTGCAGAGTTTAGGCAAAACAAACAAACAAACAAACAAACATCCCCTCAACCAAAGTCCTTGTTGTTTTACCTGTCTGAGACTGGCAGCTAATATCAGGGACAGAGGAGAGTGACAAACACTCCAGGAGAAGTGGAGAGCAAATCTGGGAAGGCATCTTTGCAAGATTTCCCTACTGCAATCCCTCAGCCTTTAATTTTGTCATAAAGAGAGAAAGGTATGGTTCAGCAATATAGTGCTTACTGTTAATGCTACACTAATTCATTTAATAAATTCTCAGTCAGTGTTGCACCCTTTGTACCTCAAAAGGTCCTGTGGCACCTGCTTTAAGACCTGTACACCAGAGAAATGTCACCATCCTATCTTACACTCATGTAAAACCTGAGGACCAAACTGCTTGCTAGATTTAAGCTGTTTGGTATTGCTGAGGTTGCCTAGGACATCTAGAAACTTGTCCCAAAGACTCCACGGTATTCCTCGTGCTGTGTCACTGCTATGCCTAGGGAAGCTGGCTTGGGCTGGCTGCCACAATTTCTGCTGTTCATAAGTTTCAGCTTGAGGCCTCTTCATTTAGATTTGTGGTAGTGACAAACCTTAGCTGTATGCTGGGAAACTTGTTCAGCAGAGCCACAAGTAACACATTTGGTCTAAAAACATGGCTAAAATTACCCATCCATGACATACGTGGCTTACGCGGAGCAGACGATGATGGATATGGCATGGTGTAAATATCCTTTCACCACTTCTTAGTGATAAGTCATAGAATTAATCGGTGGCTTTACCATTCATAATCAGCTATTAACATAAGCCACTTCACATTGAGTTTTACGGCACTTTCAGCCAGTGCCAAGTGTAGGTAGTGCTGACTTATCTTGGAGCTGATGAGAAGAAGATGGGTTGACATGATGCAAAATCAGAGGGAAAGATAAACATTTTACATATTGCTCAACAATCTTGCTGATCCTGTAATTCTTATTTAATACAAATAATTCATATGTTTAAGAGGGAAGAAAAAAATCCTTACCTTACACTTTTTTTCCTTCTTGCCTGAAAGGGGAAACAAGTGGGTTTGTTTCCTGGGGGGGAAAAAAAAAAAAAATTAAATCAAAAAATGAAAACTTATGACAAAAATCATTATTTCAAACATTATTTCTAATGTCCTAATCCAAAGGACAGTTGCCTTGGAAAAAAATCCCAAAAGGTGGTTTTGTGAGATGTTTCCAGGTAGATAGAGCATGCACACTTTTGTACCATCAGGGATGCACAAGATTATACAGAAATAGCTGCAGTGGATCATGATAACAGTCCCAGATCCTATCTGTGACAGTGTCTTGAGTGTAAGAGAGGAAATAAAACAATACAAACAATATTATATATGTACCACTGTAAAAAAAAAAGGATTATTCTCCTAAGTATGCATAGCCTTTCAGAATATACACATTGTTCTGTGGATTTGTCATTACATTCTCAATTGGCACATCTAGAGAAAACATGGTTTCTCCGTTCCTCTCACTGCCTCCACTGTAAGAAAACCAGGCCCATGTGGTTTACCGTTAGAGGCCACATAACCTGTCAGTATAGTCATGTCTTCTTTTAGTGATTTCCTCCCATTTTCTGGTTTTTTCCTCATTTTTTTCCATGGGAAGAAACACTGCCCTTTCCCTTTATGTTTCTGCAAAAGGAGCATCAGCTTCAGAGCACACTGTGCTTCCCATGATTTGTAACAAAGATTCCTCAAAACATGACAAATTGGGAAGATAAAATAATCCCATCAATTAAATAAAAGGCATTAAGTTAGAGTTATTTAGAGTTTCTGTGGTAGTAGTCACTGGGTTAGTGGGAGAGAAGAGATTTCATATTACTAATTTGACTTAAAGACAACAGCTATGAGAGTGCTTTGCTGTTATGGCCATTTATGAAAAAATGTATTTGATTAATTTTTACTGACATTAATCAGAAAAACAATCTCCCGGAGATGGTAGTTTATGCCTTCAGTGAGGGGGGGAGAGGGGGTGGAGGTGGGGTGTGGGGGGCAACAGAGGTTCCTTTTCCTGATGCTCTCTATTTTGCTTTTTTTTCCCCCACCCAGATGGGAAAGTACACCCTGGACTGCTTGCTCCTCATCCTGTGGAGGGGGCATTCAAAGCCGCAGTGTCTCATGTGTGGAAGAAGACATTCAGGGCCATATCAGCCCAGTGGAAGAATGGAAATGCATGTATACTCCAAAGATGCCAGTTGTCCAGCCTTGCAATATATTTGACTGCCCAAAGTGGCTTTTTTTGGCAAGGGGTCCC